AGTTTACATTATAAATAATAGTTTAACATTCAAATACATTGCGAATATGTATAAGTATGTATAAGTAATAATGAATAAGTACTGGTCATAATATTCACATAATAATGTCTCATGTGAGCAACAGTGTGATCAGGTGTAGATTAGGATATTGTTTAGATTAAACAGAATCTTATTTAAAGACTTCTGTTTTAAGAAGCTTTAACTGGACATGTTGTCAAAGTCACCATGGTTTAACCTTGTGTCGTCATGGTTTAGTTGAGGTTGGGTTGTACTGTGACTGTTTCCAGTTAATCATCAATATTGATGGGTATGTCTGTCTGTTCTTTGGAACAAACACACCCTTGAGCTGTGTGTGTGTATGTGTGAGTTTGTCGGGCCGGTTGTTTATATGTGTCCTAAAGAGGGATATACAGACCCTGGTGTCATGTTTAAGGACATTGGCTTGCATAGATCTGTGAGTTGACATGGATTCAGTCTTCATATGTCTTTATTATTCTTAAAAATAAAAAATGGTGCTTTCGCCCTTGTGAGCTGTGGAAATGACAGGCCCATCCTTCATACACACTCTTCTGCCATATGCGGTAGACCCTCAGTTTGATGCAGTGACATAATGAGTCGTACCAAATAATGAGGCGTTCACAGGTATTTCTGGATGATACCATATAGCTGGGGAGGGGAGGGTCTTCATGTATTGACCGATATTCATTTTCATTATCTCATTATAAGGAATATACTTGGTTATTTACAACTTTACGGTGAAGTGTGTCAAATAAAATAGCATGATAAAAATCAAATTTATACTTTTGTTCAAAATTTGGTGTTGGATATATTTTTAAATGTTTTTGAAAGTGTCTTAGGCACACCAAAGCTGTATTTATTTGATAAAAAATACGGTCAATCAGTAATATTGGGAAATATTATTACAGTTTAAAATTTTTTTTTTTTTATATTAAAAAAAAGAGTATTAATAAATTCATTGTACAATCCTGCTACTAGCATTTCATTCAGACTAAAACCCCTTTAATTCGGGTGAGAAAGCGGTTTTTTTTTTTTAGTAACTTTTGCACATCCTGTCATGCCGGGCTGCATAGACGCATTTTGCAACATTAAGGTTAACGATTAATCGATTAATTGCTCGTTAATTTAAACGACAATCGATCATTTCCAAAATTGACATCCCTAATTCAGTTATCCTCGTCTGTTCATAACCATCAACACTTAAAATACTCATTGTCTGTTTTTGGGTGAAATGTCAGTTCAAAATTGTCATGCCAAATATCTTTGTAGTTCCTTCACAATTTGCGACGGTTTGCGAACTTAACGCCCTGTTTACAGACTTTGTAATATTTCCATACAGATGACATTTTGGCCAGTGATTCCAATGAATTTTGTGTGCATTGGTGCACTTCTAGAGCACAGATCAGCCATAAATACCCTCAAAAAATTGAGGGCTGGTTGACCTGTCTCTAGATGAATCCCTCCAACACTGTAACACTCTGAAATCTCGGTTTTACTCTGTTCTGTCAGGTTTTTATCTCTGGCTTTAATTGAGCCTGAATATATTTGGAGCAGATTGCATCAAGCCTGTGATACCCACTTATTAAACTCTATTTATTCAGCGTTCCTCTGAGGCAGGTACAGCAGGTTGTTATTTGGCCAAGCAATGAGGTGGAACCATGTCTCCATTAGCTTTGGCATGCAGTGGCTTTCTGCAAAACCGCACTGTGGCGGCACGCAGTCACAGTTTATGAAAGATTCATCATATAAGCGCATGAACGTGATTGTGTAACACTGCTGGCTATTTGTGCATTTCTATGAAGCGATATTAAACACTCCTGCTCTGGGCAGGCTAGCTGTGATATATGACTGAGGAAATGCATTAGTGGGGTTTTCACACTGAAAGCGATTTCTCTGTCTTTCTCTCGCAGGACTCTAAGATGGGCTTTGGAATTGCTGTGTCCGGGGGCCGGGACAATCCAAACGTGGAGACCGGAGAGACGTCCATCATTGTGTCAGACGTGCTGCCAGGAGGACCGGCCGATGGACTGCTCTTGTACGCTTCACTCACCTTACTAATGCATGCGTGTTTAGCGTATTGGTAAACCATTATTTTACACCAGCTTAGGCAGGTTGATAAGTATTGGGTTTTCAAGTAGAGCTCTTCAAAATGACATGAATTCAAATATTATCATGCTTACTGTCCTAATAAATGTCTTTGGTGTTATTGTGCATGTTTTATTAGTGCATGTTGTTGTAAAGTAATCAAGGCTGGGTAAAATTATATTATCTAATAATAGAGCATTGCAATCATGGCATATTTTTGTAGGGCAACCCTGAAGTTTGCATTGTTAGTGAATCTAACATTTAACACAACTTTTTATGAATTTTGAAGCCTAAGTACAATCATCTGAATTAAAAAGCTAACTGTAGGCTATAAACTATAAACATAAAAAAGCTGGTTTTGGCCTGCAAAAATATATTATCCATGCAGGACTCTATATCAGAGCCTACTTTTTACATTCCAGTGTAATACTGGCTGATTCAATTAAGACCAGTCCTACATTATTTCCCACTGAATATTCATTTTCAGAAATGCATCATATACTACATTATGGAGGTGAAATGCATTACAAATGCCAAGTATTTCAGCATTTTGTGGTAGACTTAACATTTGTTTTGTTTTGTTGTGGACAGTGAGAATGACCGCGTGATGCAGGTCAACACCATCGCCATGGATAATGTGCCTCATTCATTTGCTGTGCAGTCACTTCGAAAATGTGGGAAAGTGGCCAAAGTGGCAAGTATTTGTCAAGTTGACCTTTACGAAAGGCCTTCTAGAATAAGCTTACTTACTTTGGATGTTAGTATAGGTTAGCAGTGTCAGATATGAACTTTTTTATATATACATACGTAAAGTAATCAAGGCTGGGTAAAATTATATTATCTAATAATAGAGACCTAATACATTTTTTTTTTTTTAACCTTTGAAGACATAAATTAAATCTATTTCTAACCCTCCATTTATGTCAAATAGTTTAGTTTCAAGTGAATTAATATGAATATTTGTGGTAATTGAAATAAAGCTGGAAAATATACATATTAGATGAAAAACTTTCTGAAAATTACTTGGAAAAACTGAAACAGAAATGAAAGTTTTAACATCAAAAAAAAAAAAACTAATAAAATGACAAACTCACTGAAATTCACTGAAGAAACTAAAACTTAATTAAACTAAAATTAACACGAAGCTGAAAATATACAAAACTATTAATAGTATAATATTATATAACTATTATATGTGACCCTGGACCACAAAACGCATATTTGAAATATATATTAGTGATTGAAAAATTATTAAAACCGTTTAGAAGGGTCGTATTGTTCATTTTTTTATTACTTTACTTTTATAACTGTTTTCTTTCCTCTGAGGTCCAAGGTTTCTTGCACCCTTTCCAGAACCTTTGATTTAATTTAATTTAATTATTATTTTGATGGCAATCTTATTGCCTTATCCATATAAATTAGATTTCTTGACAGCCAAATGTAAATATCTCACTCCCAATAGCAAGTTTATAATTTATGGGCGTTATTACAGGAAAGACTTGAAGTTGGATCAATGTTTATGACAAACATTGGCATAAATTTGCTGCAAGTTCATATTTTCTCATGCAAATGAGCTTTGTGACAATTGTTTGTGGAAAATTTCTCAGTAAGCAGTTGAATGTTTTTTTTTTTAGATATACAATTTAAGGATGTGTGATTAATCTAATTAAAAGCGCAAAATGGCAGCATTACACTATAAAAATATTAATGAATACACAACCATTCCAAAGTTTAGGGTTCGTAATTTTTTAAAAAGAAATTAATACTTTTACAGTATTCAGCGAGGATGCATTAAATTGATCAAAAGTGACATTTATAATGTTACAAAAATGTTTATTTCAAATAAATGTTGAACTTTTACACTTTGTATTCATCACAGAATCCTAAAAAAAATTATCACTGTTTCCAAAAAAATTTTAAGCAGCACTACTGTTAAAGAAAAAATGATAATTTTGACCTATACAATGTATTTTTGGCTATTGCTACAAATATACCCGTGCTACTTAAGACTGGTTTTGTGGTCCAGGGTCACATATAGTATATTTATGATAAATGTCTACTGTTAGATATGGTCCTTTTGATAACAGTGGGCTGAATGTATAAAGACTTAATTGTATTCATCGCTTCCCACAGACTGTAAAGAGGCCTCGCAAGGTGGCTGTCCTCAAGCACCCACCGTCCCCGAGCAGGGATAGCCGGGATTACAACATATCCAGCTATTATTCAAATAAATGTTGAACTTTTACACTTTGTATTCATCACAGAATCCTAAAAAAAATTATCACTGTTTCCACAAAAATTTTAAGCAGCACTACTGTTTTCAACTTTTCTTGATCAGCATATTGGAATGATTTCTGAAGGATCATGTGGCACTGAAGTAATGGCTGCTGACATCAGCTTTGACGTCACAGGAATAAATTACCTTTTGAAATATATTGAAATAGAAAAAAGTTATTTTAAATTGTAATAACATTTCAAAATATTCTACATCTTTTTATCAAATAAATGCAGCATCTTTCAAAAAAAAAAAATCTTACATATTCTTTTGTATATAGTCTTCAGTAAAGGTCTGCTGCTCTTTAAGGTCCTGTATAGTTTGTGATAGCCCATCCTTCAGTAACAGCCTCTTTCTGAAGCTGCATTATATTCTGACTGGGTTACAAAACAGTCCATGCTAAAATGTGCTGCACACCCGTTAAGATCAAACTGAAATGAGCAGGGACCTAAAAATAATCTTAAACCATTTGTTTCAAACGTTGCCATCTCTTAGAAGAATATGCAAAGCATAGCTAGGAACTTTTGTTGGACATTACAGCATACTCCCATACTATGTACATCTATCATTTTTATCTCAAAAGTGTAATTATGACTTGATTTGACCCCTTTACAGACGCAGAGCTTTTATTCCTGCAGTAGAGTTCAGGTCAGATGCTGTGGAAATAATACACTACGTAAAAAGACCATCTGATCTTCTTCCCATTTCTTTTTTCACTCTCTCTCATGTCCTTTCACGCTGTTTTCTTTGGAGCTCCACACATCCATCCTAAGACAGTTTGTCCTCCTTGGATTTTGATGATATTTAAATCTGATTTATTTATGATGGCCTTGTCAGATTTCAATAGACATATATTCTTGTGACTTCACATGAAGCGACCCGTCTCTTCCGATTTCCTCACCAGCCCTTCATAACCCACAGCCCAGAAAGCCAAAGCGGGTAGCGCTGTTTATTACCATAATTTTCTTGCCTAGAGTTGTAAAATGAGAACCAGCTGTTTTTTTAGAACTGGCTTTAGTTTTTAGAACAATATTGGAACTGAAAGCGTTTCATCATGTTCAGTTCTGTAAGTGGTTCTTGTACGTTCAGCAGAGAGCTGTGATTCTGCCCATCAGATCAATACTCCACATTTTCAGTTTCCATTTAAATTGTTTGTGGTGTTTGACCCATTCAGCCGGCCACTAAACTAACAGCTGGAGGGATGGCTGTGTACTTAAAAGGGTCAAGGTCATCATGGTTGTTAGGTTCATGTTAGGATCATGTTAGCGTTGCTGCGTAGAACCAATGTTTCATTCTGATTTGTTGTAGAGTACGGCCTCCGGCTGGGCAGCCAGATCTTCATCAAAGAGATGACCAGCACTGGATTGGCTGCCAGAGATGGAAATCTCCAGGAGGGCGACATCATTCTTAAGGTACCTATCAGATCCTTCACACAATAGCTGTTAGTAATGTTAACGCATTAAATCTGTTAAATTGTCATAAAATCACTGTGTTCACTAATGGTCGACTGATGTGGCTGATGACAATATCTAGTGCACTTTTAAGACTCATTTTTGTTAAATGAAATACAGCTGAAATAAAAAACTATAAAATAGAAAAAATATAAAAGTCTAGAAAAAATACAAATGTAAATGTTATATATAAATAACAGAAAATATATATAAACGTTATATATTTATTAAATAAATATTAGATTAAAAGGCTTAAACTTAAATGAATATTAGAAATCTTGCCTTGACAACTAAAGTTAAAGTACTAAATTAGTAAAACTAAAACTGAAATAGAAAAAAATTAACTGCTGAAAATTTAATTTAAAATCAAATTCAAAATATTAATAAATACTATAATGCCATATAATAAACAAAATAAAGCTGTATAGACTAGGGATGTTCATTTTAACCGGTTAACCTACCGTAAGAATTTTGACCGATTAATACAATCAGTTAAACGG